GTATCACCTACTCAAACTTTGGAAGTCACCGGACATGACCTCACATCAACCTTGCCTTGTATCCATACAGGGCCGTTCCCATAGTTCTGGTACCAAATTTCATCCACAAATTTAAATTGTCTCTCTCGCTCACAGGAGGCATGTGGCCGTCATTGGCTTTCCTGCTGCTGTTTCACCGCCACTCCCACGGGTCTGAGAATATCAGGGTTAACCTGGTGTGGAGTCCTCTCCCAGTCAGAAACTCTGCTGGAGCTATCCCTGTTGTTGTGTGTGGAGTGGTTCTAAAATTGAACAGGAACCGGGATAATTTGGTGTTAGTTGACGCTGTAGGCTGCTTCTTTATGCCTACCTTCAATGTTTGGACTGCTCTTTCCACTAGACCATTGGGCAATGGATTGTATGGAGCTAACTGTATGTGCCAAATATCATTTGACTTCAGGAAATATTCAAATCCTTGCTGGTAAATGATGTCCCATTATCCGTGAAGAATACATCCAGGAGTACGTGCATTGCACGCAATGCTCACAGCTTCACAATCATCATCCCTGAGTTTGCTGAATGAACTTGTGGCATGTTCAACCACTTTGAAAGGGCATCCACAATGACCAGCAACACTGAGCCCATAAAAGGACCAGCATAAGTCAACATGCAACAGTGTCCATGGTTTACCTGGCCATTCCCATGAATGTGGGGGTGCTGCTGGTGGCAGTTTTTGTCCTTGTTTGTACTCTAGGCACTGCCCCACCAATGCAGCTATGTTGGCATCTAAACTGGCCACCAGACATAGCTTCTTGTTAGTGTCTTCATCTTGGAAACCCCTGGATGACCCTGGTGGGGCTCAGCCAGTATCTGGCAACGACTGTACATGGGACAATCGCTCTGGTTCCCCACAGTAACATGCTGTTCTCTTTGGTGATCTGGTCTCACCAAGTCCAGAAATGTTTCGATCTGGGTTGCAATGTCCCTTCTGTTTCCTTCATTATCACTAGCTGTTTTAGTTTCACTAGGACAGGATCTTTTTGTGTCCACAGTCGGATATTATCAGTGGTGACCAGAAGGGTATCCAGGAAGTTTAAAACCAAAACGGAGTCTTCCAAGGGAGGCACCACCGGCGGAGTATCTGTCAGTGGGAGGCGGCTCAAGGCATCCACATTCGCCACTTTGCTTCCTGGATGGCGTTCTAGCTTGTACTTGTACGTGCTGAGAATAAGGGCCCAACACTGAATTCTACCAGAAGCTATGGGCGGCACTGCCTTGTCTTCCTTCTGTAGCCCTAGTAGGGGTTTGTGATCTGTTACTATGACAAATTCCCATCCATAAAGGTACTGGTGGAAGTTCCTCGTACCAAAGATGACTGCTAAACCTTCCTTCTCTCTCTGGGCACATTTGCGTTCAGCATCAGCCAAGGTCCAGGCAGCATACACTATTGGGCGTTCCTCTCTGTTGGGCCACCAGTGAGCCAACACAATGCCAATACCATTCACGGAGGAATCACATGTCAGCACTACCTCGCTTTGGATCATTGTGGGCCAACATCTTAGATAACAAAAGGCTAAAGGCTACGTCTCGGCTATGCAACCATTTCCAAGGTTGACCCTTTTTCAACAGCAGGTGTAAGGGTGCCAAGATGAAGGCCAGGTTATGTATGAATTTTCCGTAATAAATCACTCACCCAAGGAAAGACCTAAGCTCCAGTATAGACATGGGAACCAGGGCACCTTTGATTGCCCTCACTTTGTCCTCCAACATGTATAACCCGGTTTTGTCAACTCTGTAACCCAGGCAGGTTACGTGGGGTACCTGGAACACATTTTTTTCTTGTAAGGCATACGCTCACCTGGGAGAAATGTTTAAGCACATTGTCCAAGTTCTCCAACCGCTCTTTATTGGACTTTCCTGTTATTAGTACGTCATCCAGATAAATGTCAATCTGGGGTATCCCTTGTAAAACGTTCTCCATGTTCTACTGGAAAAAGGCACAGGCTGATGATACCCTGGATGGCAGTCTTGTATATTGATGTAAAACCTTATGGGTATTAATTGTGGCGTACTTCTGGGACTCCTCATCCAGTCGCAATTGCAAGTAGGCACGGTTCATGGCCAGAGATAGTAAGAACTGCCGATGTTGGAGTCTGAGATAACACAGTGTGGAGCTGGAGGAACACAGATGGCCAGGCAGCATCAGAGGAGTAGGAAAGCTGATGTTTCGACCCAAAACGTCAGCTTTCCTGCTCCTTTGATGCTGCCTGGCCTGCTTGTGTTCTTCCAGCTCCACACTCTATGGCTTATGGCCATATTTGTAAATGATAGCGCCCCCCGCCCCCCCCCCCCCACCCCCACCCTTATATACAAGTCGTCTATGCACAATTTCAGGTATTTATCCAGCTGCAAGAAGCGGTTTGCTGTTTGCTTAAAATCCCCACAAAGGCAAACTGAACCATCAGGCTTCAAAATTGGTACAACTAGTGCTGCTCATTCCACAAACTGCACTGGTTTGATGATTTCTTTACTCTCCAGCCTCCTATTTTTTCCTTTACTTTTGCCAATATGGCACTGGGCATGTCTTGCTAATTCTCAGAAATGCTTCCTGGTCAACATGTAATTGGCTTTGACCCCTTTGATAGTCCTGAAATACACCTGGGTATATCGCTAGGATTTCACTAAGGCAGCCATTTTCTAATCAAGAAGTACTGACATAACCCAAGTTAATCTTTCTCAACCAATCCTGCCTCAATAGGCTTGGGCCTGAGCCTTTTACTACCATCAGTGGTAACTGCACCTACTGCTTCTCATAGGAGATCGGGACCGAAATCGTACCCTTAATCGCCAATGGTTCCCCAGTGTATGTTCTTGGTCTGGCTGAGGTCGTGTGCAAACTCAAGGGTTGGAATCTTGTTAAAGACAGATTCTGCAACCACAAGTACAGCTGCACCAGTATCAACCTCCATGGGAGCTGGGTGACCATTTAACTAAACATTACTTTTAATCAGTTGCCACTTGGACATCGCGAAGCACACTAAGCAACTTAATTGCTCTAGCCCACATGTAGGGGCACTATCCAGGGTGAGTGCTTTTCTGGATACCGGCCTACAGTGTTTTCTTGCTCAAGTCAGGCCTTGTAGGACTCCTTTGCTGTCTCGAGTCCACATACTGGCAGCACCTACGATAGGCCCAGATCCTGAAGAGCTGTTTAGCTACTTGGCTGAGTCTTGGTTTTGTTGTTGTGTTCTGCTGTGGGCTGGCCTCGGGTCCTTCTGTTTAGGATATGCCCTGCATGACGCTCTGCCATTGCCTATACTCAAGGGTGACAGGTGAGGGAGTCCACTTCCATTGGCATACCCTGTAGCTCCCATGCTCCACTTTCCACATTTTCTGACGACAAAGCCAGTTGCAGTGCCTGTTTGAAATCAAGTTGGGCTTCAGCTAGTAGGCGATTCTGCATGGTTACATCATTAATCCCACATACCAAACGGTCTTTCAGCATCTCATTCAGTGTTAACCCAAAAATCACATTCCTCTGCTAGTCATTGCAACCTCATCAAAAATCCTGATACAGATGCCCCCAGTTCTCGAACGGTCAAATAAAACCGACAGTGTCTCAGAATTAGAGGTGGTTTGGGGTTGTAATATCCCTTAACCAACTCCGTCAACTCTTGGAACGTTTAGTGTCTGGTGCCTCTGGGAAAGTTAAACCCCTCATAACTGAAAATGTTGTGGGTCCGCAAGCAGTGAGAAGGATTACTTGCCAGAAATGTTCTTCAGGCACGTCTTGTTTTGTCCTGTTGCCACGATAATAACTGCACAGCAGCCGGTATCCCATCACCAAGTCACCCTTTATTTACTTGTACATAGGATATTAGCTGTGGCCAGCTAGCTCAGACTGAGTCCACTCAATTGAGGAGATTCTAATCTCCTGATAATTTGTTTTACATTCGCAGTTACAAACTAAGATCAAAGAAATCCTTGGATAAATAGTTTACAATCCATTAAATACAATTCAAGTTATACAATGCAAATTATTGCATTCTTTCTAAAAGAAAGTTTGTTTCAGTTCATTTTGCTCTAAAGTAAAAATACATTGCAATGCTTTCAAGTGAAGCCTGGGGTTTGAAGCTCAGTTCCCATAACATCACACACAAAGCCTTTGGCCTACACACTAGACTGTTGGCCTACACAGTGAGCTGTCGACCTACAAGCACGTCTTTCAGTCCACACACACACTGTCAGCCTAAATGCACATGTCGGTCCGCATGCACATGTGTTGGTCCACATGCACATCTGTCAGTCCACACGCACAGCTGTCGGCCCACATGTTCAGCTGTCAGCCCACAAACAGAGGCCCAGTCCACATACAAGGGCTCAGTCTGGGCCCCACACACTAAAATAATGGCCGAGAGGCCTGGTCTCGTCACCAAGTTACCTTCAATTCACTAGTGCATCAGTACACTGGCTGTGGCCAGCCAGGTCAGAGTTAGTCCACTCAATTAAAGAAACTCTAATCTCCTGATTATATTGGTCAGCTAGGACTTTCCTGATTGACCCAAGTTAACGACCCCAATCAAGAACCTCATAGTTGACGAGGTCAACCTGGTTCCACTCACTACACTTAGCTGGTAATTTCTAACTTAGAACAGCAGTGGCCACTGATGTGACTACAATCAGTAACTGAATGTTTATGGGTTTCAACTTGGACAAGGGTGGTCATGCCACATTAACCATTTCTTGCTGCCTTTCGTGGATAAAATTGCACAGTTCAGTGTAAGCAGAGAGGGAGGTGCAGTGCTAAGGGAGCTTATTGATGGAGGACCATAAAAGTCTGCCTTATATTTAATGTTATATGTCCTTTTGTTTGTGATTACCCTACATCACTTACTCATATGCTTTTAATACAGATTGGTTTTTATTCTGGGTTATTTGTAAAGTATCTATCTCATAGTACAATGATTCAACATTCCTATTATGGGACGCTATATTTTATCTTAATGACATTTTTTTTCCAGAATATCCAATATCACAAAAAAATGAGGTAATTCCTGTGGCAGTGTTGAGCCTACTCCCACCTACCCTGATTGCTTTCACGATAACGATGGCATTTTATCTCTTTCGCACTCGGCAACAGAGAAAAGTGACCAAGGAGTGGCCGCAGAAACAGAGAGAGCACCAAAGCCTCACTAGGACTGACATGAGAAAACCTGGAGAGTATGATGGAAAATGCACTGTCGCAATTGATGATGGTCAGTCCAACATCAGTGCAACATGTGCCAACAACATCAATCACAATAACGAACTGCTACCAATCGAACTGGATGGCATTGTTGGAAAAGGTAGATTTGCAGAAGTCTGGAGAGCAAAGCTCAAACATAGTGCTTCAGGGCAATATGAAACTGTTGCAGTGAAAATCTTTCCTTGTGAAGAATATCCATCGTGGAGAACTGAAAAACAGATCTTCTCAGACGTCGATCTCAAACATGAGAGTGTGCTCCAGTTTCTCACAGCAGAAGAAAGAGTAAGAGGAATGGAAAAGCAATACTGGCTCATTACAGCTTATCATAGTGTGGGAAATCTACAAGATTTCCTCACCAATCACATTCTGACCTGGACAGACATGTATATGATGACAGGATCCCTTGTAAATGGGGTTGCTCACCTTCACAGTGACTATACTGCATGTGGCACCCCAAAGATTCCTATATCTCACAGAGATATTAAAAGCACAAACATTCTGGTTAAAAACAAAAGGGAATGTGTGTTGTGTGATTTTGGTCTGGCACTGAGGCTTGATCCATCTCTAACAGCCGAAGACTTTGCCAATAGTGGCCAGGTGAGTATAACATGACTTTTGAAAGATGGTATTGTAATATGAAGCTGATTAATGTAACATAGTGTGATCATTTAAATTTAATTAGATTGGTTTTGTTGTATTAAAACAACCGAAAAATTGATATTAAAAACATATTTTTACCTATGAGTAGATATAAATGAAGAAGTTCTGCTCGACCATGCACAAAGTTGAATTTTTCTCCCATTCTGTCATTTAGCTTCCAATCCTGCATTGCAGACCATAAGGAGTCTGAACATGGATTCAACAGAAGGATAGTGCCTAATCTGTAGAAATTTGGGTGTTGGCAGAATACCTAGTATGACTTTCCAAAGTGCCTAGTGATATACCGGGAATGCCCCAGACAAAAACATTTATCAATATGTACACAGATAAAGTCCATTCAGGTTTCATCTGGTTTAACCATAGACAATGGTTATTAGTTTTCACTCCCCTCCTTCTCTCCTGAATATTTTTTATTTTTACTAATTTACCATATAACCTAAAAAATCTGAACTTAATGCACAAATCTTGCCAGAAAATATTGATGTGATATTCAGCTTTGGAGAATAACACTGTAGCATGATTGTGACCTCATTTTTCCATACATGTACGCTAGCCAAGATTTGATAGTGGTTCATCATCAGATATGGAAACCAGGATTGATTTTTGCTTTTTATAGAATACTGATGTGGAGCGTGGTGAGGTGGACTTCCTTACTGCTGCTGAGACTATCACCACCCTATTTACAAATGAAGGATTGAACCCAGAAGCTTCCTGGATTGTAGATTCAGTATTACAGCAGACATACTCTTTTTCTTTAAGTATGGGAGGGGATTTCCATTCTTAAATAATGTAATGACATTATTTGTTGACTGGTATTAATATAGCAATAACAAATCTTTCCTTGTCGTTGTTTGTAATTACAGAACTTGAGAATTACTGAAACCATTTTATTGAAGATTTTCATCTCGCACTCATCAGGACAATTCACACAAATACAAATTCAAAGGGAAAACCAATATTTATACTGCATAAGAGGGGAGTGTAGATTAACAAGTGGATTCTGTTTGGGAGAGGCATTGTTATTTTGCTTTGCTATATTTGATCTGACACTATTAGGTTTCATGGAATCTAGAGTCAACATTGAGGGCTCCCAGCTCAACTTATCTATTTGCACACCAGTGTGGCACTTCCACTAAAGGGCATTAGTAAATCTAATGACTGGACACTGAACTGGACTAGCCATATAAGTACGGTGGATACAAGAACAGGTAAGATGGTAAGAATTCTGCAGTGGGTAACTCAATATCTGACTCCCCAGAGACTGTCCACCATCTATAAGGCACAAGTCAGGTGATGGAATACTCCCAACTTTCCTGGATAATTGTAGCTTCAACAACACTGAAGAAGCTTGACACCATCCAAGACAAAATGGCCGACTTAATTGGCACTGCATCCACAACATTCACTCCCTTCACTGACATTCAGTAGCAGCAGTGTATACCATCTACAGGATGCAATCAGGAATTCACTAAGGTGCCTTAGACAGTACCTTGCAAATTGATGGCCACTGCTATCTAGATGGAAAGGGCAGCAGATACATGGGAACACCACCACCTACAAGTTCCTCTCCAACCCACTCACCATCCTGACTTGAAAATGACATTGCTGGATCAAATGGATAGAAGTCCCTCTCTAATGGAATTGTGAGTGTTCCCGTAGCAAATTAATTCAACTGTAGCTCATCATCAGCTTCTCAATGGTACCTAGGGAGAGTTAATAAATGCTGGCCCAGCCAGCAATGTTCACACCCGATTAATTATATTTTTAAAATTATTTATTTTATGACAAATGGCAACAGTTTCCTGGTCATAGTTAGATTTTTGTTTGAATTCTAGCATTTACCATGATGGGAGTAGCACTGCACCTCCCCAATTTACAATTTTGTTTAATTTTTTTTTTAAAAAGCCTGGCAGTTAACTGTCAATCACCATTAACTTATACTTTCTGCCTGGCAGTGCCTCTGTGAAGCAGAGTCCACTTGCCAAATAATTAGCATTCCTCACATGCAGTGTAAACATTCATTTTCTCCTAAATTTGTATTCTTTTAAACTGTTCTGATGAAAATCTTCAACAAAATATGTCCTTTCTTCAGAAATACTAAAGCTTCCTGAACAAATTAATATCAAATCTGGGCTAATATTAGATACCCTTTACCACCATTACAGTGAGTTAATTGAAAATTTGTATAATGGCAGATCAGTTCTGTCAGTGTCATTTCCTAGATTTCCCTAATGCTCTTAAGGGTAAATAATCGGAACTAATGGAAATGTCAGAATTTGTAAAATCAATCAGATATTTCAATTCCTAAATGCATACAGCTTGTATTCCTTGTGTAGTGTGCAAATCTAATTTTAAAATGTTAGCTAAGTAATGTCATAGAGTAATACAGCATGGAAGCAGACTCTTCAGTCCATTTTGTGCCAACCAGGTTTCCTAAACTGAACAAGTCCCATTTGCCAACATTTGGCCCATATCCCTCTAAACCTTTTGTATCGATCTACCTGTCCAAATGTCTTTTAAATATTGTAATTGTACTCATCTCTAACACTTCTTCTGGCAGCTCATTCCATATATGCACCACCTTCTATGTGAAAAAGTTGCCCCTGAGGTCCATTTAAATCTTTTTCCTCTCACCTTAAGCCTATGCCCTCTAGTTTTGGACTTCCCTACCGCTGGGAAAAGACCTTGGCTATTCACCTTTTCTATGCCACTGGTGATTTTATAAACATCTATAAGGTCAACCCTTAGCTTCCTATGCTCCAGGGAAAATAATCCCAGCCTATCCAGCCTCTCCCTATAACTTAAACTCTCCAGTCTTGGTAACATTCTTGAAAATCTTTTATTCACCCTTTCCAGTTTAATAACATCCTTCCTATAGAAAGGAGTTATGGACCAGACCAAACTCCCTCAAAATATATTACGAAGATAGTCTAGACCCCTCAACTTTTTGTTATTTTTAAAGACCTGCATAAGGCATTGTGTTCCAGATGCAATTCGATTGGTCAAACTACCAGGCTTGAAGGAAAACACTTTTTCTTCTTACACTATAGTTACAATACAGACAAAATAAGAATAAAAAAAATTATCCTAACTATCAAAATACTTAACAAGTTAATATATACATTAACTACAACTGATTAGCTGTTCCAAGATAGTAACATCCTATAAACACACCCTTGGCAGAGGCAAAGTCAGTAAAATAGATTGCCTCACATGCGACGTTTCTCCAGTCTGGGAGGAAAGAATATCAAGAGAAAATTCTGAGAGAGAGAGAGACAGCAAGAAGTCAAGCGTTTTGCTGTAACAGGGAAAGAGGTATAGCAGCTTCCAAACCCTAACAGCTACTGAAAGTTAAATGAAAATCCTGGTTTTGTGGAAGCTCGCTTCCACTCATTCAGACTGCTTCTATTGTTCCAACTTTAAAAGAATCCCTACAAGTCCTCACAAGCTGTTTACTTGATTGGATTGAAACAGATAGCTCTACAACTCTGTCTCAATCTCTATTCATAAAAAAATCCCTTAAATCCATAGTGTCATCAGACATCCCCTCTCAAAAAAAATGATCCATCAATATATAAAGATGGCTTCATTTTTAAAAACCTTTAGTTTTATGCTATTAGTACATGACAATATATATATTACATTGACTCTAAGTATGCAAACATTCACTACTACAGACCATTCCAGTCCATTTTTCTCATCACCAAAAGCCTCCGTCTTCCTTCATCAAAGTCGAGACAACACGTTGGCATTTATGTTCTCTCGTCCTGCCACATGTATAGTTTTCAAATTGAATTGCTGCAATAATAATTTCCACATAAATAACCTGGTATTTTTATCCTTAAATTGTTCCAAAAAACTCTAAGGAGTTCTGATATTGTCTCAGACACATTACTAGCAACATAAATGTTGAAATTTTGCAACGTCAACACCAAACTCAAAGTCTCCATCTCAATTGTGGAATATTTCTGTTGATGAATATCCAGCTTTTTGGAAAAAATACCCAATAAGTCTTTCTATTTTATCATCGTTGTCTTGCAAGAGTACACAACCAACACCCACATCACTCACATCAATAGCCACTTTGACTGGTTTCGCGTAATTAGGTACGGCTAATAGTGGGGCAGTGATTAACACAGCTTTTAGATTATCAAATGCCTACTGACACTTTTCTGTCCACTGACATTTTTTGCACTTCTTCAACAGGTCAGTCAGTGGAGCAACGATGCTGCTAAAATTTGGTAGGAATTTCTTATAAAAACCACTCAGTCCCAGGAATCTTAGTACTTCCCTTTTCATCGATAGTATGGGAAACTACCCAATAAACTTTGTTTTCATATCCCATGGGGCCATTTATCCATTTCCAATAACATGGCCAAGAAACGTAATTAGGGCTTTTGCAAATTCACTCTTAGCCAGGTTTATCACCAAGCCTGCATCCCGAAGTCAATCGAACAATTCCAATATGTGCTCCAAATGTTCCTTCCATGTGTGACTAAAAATTACCAGATTGTCCATGTACATCCCACAATTGGTAATCTCAAAAAGACTTTATTGGTTAGTCTTTGAAATGTTGCTGATGCATTCTTCATACCAAACAGCATGACTTTAAACTTGTATAGACCATTTGGTGTCATGAAAGCCAAACATTCCATCACTCTTTCGGATAAAGCTAACTGCCAGTATCCTCTAAGTAAGTCCAACTTTGAAATACAAGTTGCTTGTCCCACCTTCTCAATACAGTCTTACATACATGGAATAAGATATGAATCAGATTTTGTAACTGCATTGACTTTGCGATAGTCTACACATAATCATTGGGTATGATCTGATTTTGGCACTATGACTATGGGTGAGCTTCATTCATTGCAACTCACTTTGATTATGTCAACTCTGAGCATGCTTTCAATCTCTTCTTGAACCTGTGCCAACTTCAG